AGTCTACAAATAGAACAGCAATCCATAGATATCTTCCACAAAAAAAAAAAAAAAATGTATTATGTTTAGTTTATAAAAATTATTAAAGTTTTCATAGCAAAAAAGACGTGGTATAAACTAAAGGGAGATGTTTTTACAATTATACTAAAACGCCATTTATTAAATAAAATCTAGAAGTAGAAATAGTAGTAGCTAACAACAGTTTTGATCATGTTGATAATTTCCAGGCCTTAGAAGTTTGCATATCAAATATGATACATTAAACTTTATAGGGTTGATAACATAAGAATGAAGAAATGGTGCATAATAATGCAAAAAATAATAATGTGTAAAATACTAAAGCTTTTCAATGTGGTCTCACATTTTTATTCTCTGCTGAATGTTAATAAATCAGATGTTTTCAAGACTAAATACTGACTTAAGGTCTTGTTTTTTTTTTTGTTTTTTTTTTTTGCTGAAGATGTGATGCATTTCATTTTTTAAGAGCAAATATTGTTCACACTTCCATCCAAATAATGAAATACTGACCAGTGAGGCAATGCTGACAGCCCTCTTCACAGGTCACACAGTCTTCATGATCTGGATCGGCTTCTTCACCTTATACAAGAACAAGCATTACACCACAAGTCAGCACTTACATAAAACTAGATCATGTGTCTGTATAAGCATGTATAAAAAGAGAGTTAAAGAGTGTGTTTGAGTTTGAAAAGACAGGAAAAAGCAGACGAGACTGTGTGTGTGTGGTAGCCCTGGAGGCGATAGCGCAGGACCCGTTTATACATGTCTGCCACTAATGATAAGAATTTCTGTTCCCCCACTCTCTCATTTGCGCTGCTATTTCAGTCTGACTTCTGCAGACAAGCTCTTCACATGCTCAGCACATCTTTGACTGTGATAGCAAATTTGTGAAGAAGATGAGATAAACAGCAGTGGGTGTCGTGAGAAGCCAAACAACATCCAGCGAGTTCGATTTACAGATACATGTAGGCTAAAGTGATCTAGCACAGCACACAAGACGAGAGAATCAAACAAATACATGTCCTGGTCACATTGTACTGCAACATCTAAAGATTAAAAAAGTACATTTTTAGAGCCATTACGATTTTGTGACCTTACTTTCATGACCATTAAGTACCCCCCTCGCTTTATATAATTAATATTATTTAATCTATTAAATGTAATTATTAGATTATTATAATTCTTATTTGTAATGATGACTCTTAAAAGATTCTCATTACTGTTTATTTTACTATATTAAAATGTACAATTTTTTACATTACTGTTCAAAAGCATGAGGTAAGATTTTATTCTTAAAAAGTATTCAATACTTTTGTTTAGTAAGGGTGCATTCAATTGGTCAAAAGTGACAGACATTTATAATACAACAAAATATTTCCATTTGAAATAAATGCTGTTGGTTTAACTTTCTATTCATCTAAGAATCAAAAATGTATCAAAATTAAGACAAATATCAGCAGACAAAAATGAAAGTTTAATGACATTTGTAAATTTACAAGTAGTGCATGATCATATGAATTGAAAGTTTAATGAAATTTGTAAGCATTTTAATGTACTAATGATCTGTAATGAGTTCATCATTAGTAAACATTATCTCAAATTTCTTGCTATTTGAATATATATTAACTCTGTTAAGCATTGTATAATGTTTGTTAATGATTTATTAATCAAAGTTGTTAGTGATACCAATTACATTTTAAAATATATATATATATATAAAAAAATAATATTAGTGTATTAATTGTAGCAATTTACTTTGTACATTATTATTTTTCACATTGCAGAAAGGAGAATGAGATATTTTTTAAGAGCATTAAAAAAACGAAAATAAGAAATTTTGGGAACTTTGTAGTGAAAAATACTGGCAAAAAAACAAAAACATAGTTGTTGTTTTTACACTGGGCCTACAGCTCATCCGATAATTTGATTTTCTGAAGAATTTTAATAATATTTGTGTAATAAACTCCCTCACATACCAAAATGAAGTAACAAGAACCTTAATAATCACAAAAAAAAGAAACAATGGAAAAAGTCAAGCAAGCCAATGGGAAAATTCTAGAAAAGTTATGTTGCAACTGACCCACTCCACACAGCAGTCTGGCACACGTCCCGTCTTTGGGGTAGTATGAGGGTGCGCAGTGGAGACAGTGGCCTGTGGACGTACACACGGTGCAATTAGGAGGGCATGGATCACAAGTTCCCTTCGGAGAATGGAAATAACCCCCTGGACAGCTTTCACGACACTCCGTTTTAAAGAGGTACCGCTCCACTCCGAACTTATCTGTGTGAAAAAAGAAACAGAATAGAAACAATGCTAAGAGCTTGTCTTTTTCTCTGCTAAACAAGGTGGCCATGACTCAGTTTACCTTTGCCACAGCGAGTGCATTTATCAGGCCCCTCGTCTGAACATTCCTGGCATGTGGGGTGGCAAAGATGACACTGTCCATCTCTCTCGTGCTTCCCAGAATCACAGCCGAGCACACACTGCCCATTGTCAAAAAAACTGCCAAAGAAAACAAAAGTGAAATCTTTTCCCCACACACTACACATTCTGCCTCACTACAGCTGTATTTGGATATACTGTGGTGATGTAAGACTCTCACCGAGTGGACAAGCAGCTCATGCAGTCTTCACTCTTAGGTCCAGTGCACTTATAACAGGTTGAGTCGCACAGTTTACATTCGCTATGTTCGCTTAAATACTCTCCTGAAAATAAAATACAGACAACACATAAACTACACACAGATCCATTATATAATGCCATGAGCAAACTAGAACATCCTACTTTATCTAGTGGGACTTTTATTTAGCAGTTGTACGTGAATAATCCGAATTTAAATAATGTTTGTAACATACTAATATTATAATATTTATGTAGCATCACAAATAACTTGGTAATTTTTTTCCCGGAGGCATAACACGATAAAATGGAAGAAAAACAAATAGGAAAAATAAACAAACAAAAATAAATGAAAAAACAAACAAAAACAAAAAAACAAAAATATGTATAAAATAAAACAGAAAAATACAAATAAACCAAACGAAAAACAAAAATCAAATAAGCAAGCAAAAACCTAAACGACAAATAAGAAAAGAAATGAACAAAATTAAATGAAAAACAAACAAACAAAAAGAAACAAACAAACAAAATGATAAATAAAAAAAAACGAAAAAACTAAAAACTAAAGCAAATGACAAATAAATAAAATCAAATAAAAAATAAACAAAACAAGCAAACAAAACCAAATTAACAAATTAACAAAACCAAATGATGAAAACAAACAAAACCAATCGATAAATCAAAAATTCAAACAAGCAAACAAAACCAAATACAAATAAGCATACTTACAAATATATACAAAACGATAGAAAAACCAAGTGCTTACCTGTTCTGAGCTTTAGTTTTAATTACTGAGAAAGACTTCTGGCTGAAGGATTGACCGGCTGACATCTTAGATTACAGACAATTCAAAAGGCCATGCATATGCAGGATTCATAAATCACAACACTCAAGAGGAGAAATCAAGCTCATGCAGGATGCACACATAATATGAGCCGGCCTTAGAAAAGATCAACTGAAATCAGAATATTTAGAAGAAGAGGATTTTGTGAGTTGCAATTAATGACCACATAAAAAGATCTTGCACATACACCGTCGAATCACTTGAACTAAACCCAATATCTTTGTTAGCATAAACAAAACAAATCTTTTTCAGAAATCCAAGAAAAGATTATATTAATAAAGATGTGTCATGACAGTAACTCGAAGTCGAGACACAAAGGCAACAGATTAATCTTACAAAAAACGAATGCAGCTTTATAACTCTCAAGGTGCCAGAATGGATACAAAACTATCCAAAAGTGATGTCATGGGACTGTGAAGAAAGCTAAAGACATTGAGTTAACCTTTAACCCCCAGGCCGAGCAATGTTTCAGTGAGGTTTCCTTTAGAGTGAGCGGGATATCTATGGCCGACTGACCCTCCAGATGACCTCAGCTTACGCTCTCATACACTCTATTCATTCAAATCTGACAATCCTGATGCAAACGCTCACGACCCTACATGACCGTAATTGAGTTGTCAATCACAGGACAGCCCAAAGCCAATGTCGTCCCCGAGTTAAAGGAGTTTTCTCACTCAAATGGCTTATATTAAAAAGCTTAAGAATTACTTTGATATTCTACGTAGGACTCTAACATTTGAAACAGCTAAAGTGTTAATAGTAATGGTTATATCATTTTATTCACCAGTGACAATGGCTGAGTGGGAGCACAAATAGTTCAAAAATGTTCCTTCTAAACTAAAGGAAACGGCCACAGGTCACAACAAGGGGCTGCGCATATATTGTCTCTGTTAAAGTCATTGTGACCAGTGCACATTTGAGTTCAATTTCTCTCTGTCAAATGCCGAATTGTTCCCTTTAAAAAAAGAAGCCTTTTGTGAGGAAACAAGGAGAAGTCGAATCATTCTCACACCAGTTCACCACAAGAATTTAACTCCAAACAATATTTCGTGAAGTCAAAGTAAGCAAGTGGTTCAACAACACTAGATTTTTCTGATGAAAAATGTGAGCGGTGCTTGTCAGCGATAAATTCGACGCCAAAACACTACGGTGGTTGTTTATGGATCAATGACATTCTTAACTCTATATATGGCTCAGGTCACTTGGGTTTGTTTTCGCCCATTTACAGCCAAATTAAAAATTTCAGTCGGATTGTGCCTTTGGTGATCCTTGTGCGGCGGTCAAGAATTTTTTTTTAGATGAAATTAATGTACTATATTTTGGTTTTATAATGATTATATTTAATATTTTGTATTTTTATGGGATTTTATGGTATAAATTATATATTAATGAAGTAGACCTGAGCATAGACATTAAAACTGTCATTAGTTTTGAATGGTTCGGAGCACATAGATTGGTCTCTTTTTAAAGAAGACACTTGGCAGATTGATTCATAAGTGAAAAAAGTGAACAAAGTTGTAGAAGTTCACGTTTATTGTTAGGAAAATGCACAAAAATACGATTTTCAATTTTTATTTGAAATATATAGGTCTCAAAACATACTTCAAAATATTACTCTAAAACTGCAAGAAAATCAAAGCCATAAATGTAAACCAGTTGGGTTTCAAATTTGCGGTGAGATTTTGTTAGGCGCAGTACCAAATGTTTCCACTAGAATGCAGTCATTTTTTACCGCGAGGGTTTCACGTGTGACCTTTTTTTTTTCAGGACCATTTAACCTTTTCGAATCATGTCCATAATTTTTTTTTTTTCCTTTTACAAAGTTTCGTACCATTCCGATTAAGTAAAATTGTGCGGTCAAAAATGACGGAAGATTTCACCAGTAATTTGAGCAAGCATGTCATTTAAATGAGCAAACAAAAGTAGTCTCATTTAATCTCTCTGAGTCGTGTTTTTATTTTAAAGTTCATTAATAAAAAGATCAGTAAACCATTTGTTTCGTCCAGTCTTATCTACATGATAAAACATTTTATTTATCTTGGCCCTGACTACAAACATCTTCATCTAGACTAACTGTCAATGGCAGCCGGCTAAAAACAGAATTATAAAATAATTTTAGAAAACTCATCCGTTTTCCCCCCTTATTTCAATTGAACGTGGGTGCAAAATATATTTTAAGGTTAATAGAGATAAAAATACATATATACATTAAGAAAAAAACGTTGCCAGAACAGAGTAAATGCAACACATTTGAACATAGACTGATTCTCTATATAACATTAGTTATGTAACGTTGCATGTATTGAGTCCGCAAAAAAAACGTACATCATACTACAACTTTTTTTGCGTCATGAATACTCAATTAGCATTAAGTGGCTGCAACGCCATCCACAAAACACAACTCATTTGAACTAAGACCATTTATAAATCTTTTTCATAAATAAAAGGCTATGTCATCTTAAACCACAGCATTCATAAATAAAAGACAGAAATCCCCTTAACATTGAGCAAAAGTGGATTGGTCGAACATGTCCTTAATGAATGTAGAAGTCTAATTTGTTGTGTAGTACTATTAGTATACCTAAACATTTCACCTCGTTTCTGACCTTTATTAAAACGTAATACACTCCCCTCAAGTATTTCTCTTTTCTTTTCCCCAGGATACTGCAATGGCATACAGTAAAAAATGGCCAGTTTGATCAAAAATAAACATCTAAACTAAAAATTAACTTGAATTCACAAATATATGTTGGACGTCACGAATCCAAGACACAAATGTGAATTCAAAAAACTCCCTCTAACAACTCCATTATGTCAATAGCACCAGTTATGTGAATAAAAGTTTTATTCTCCCGTAAAGACATGGAATAATGAACTATTTTAAGTGGCCATTTCAAAGTTGATTAAAATGGAGCGGTTTCACTATACATTTGCATGATAAATCAATAAAATATAAATAGCTGACCCTGATCTACCCGGACACACTATTCATTTCACATTAACTATGTAGGATTAATATTGTGGAGCTGTTTCATGAAATGGCAAGATACAAAAAATAATGCATGTATAGGGATTTATTTCATTTTTTAAAGGCATATCACGAATGGCCTGGTAAGGTAAAATGAATTAAAAAGTGTTTCAAACCTCATTTCAGCTACCACGACTAAAACCTGTACTTCAGCCCAGTCAATGTTTCTTCATGGCTACACTAACACCGGTTGTGGTTACGCCTAGGTTTCCCGAAACCTATTTTTCCACTTGAATAATGAAACGCACACGCAATCACACACACACACAAACAGGTAAGAGATCTGAGCCTGAGGTGAAGAATTTCTGAACAGTGAGACCACCTGACATGACGGCATTCATCAGCTAAACGGTCATTAGTGTTAGTACAATACTCATCCCTTCAGGAAAGTACTTCTTATTGTATCTTGTATTGATTTTACTGCAGTCGTGAAGATCAGGAGATGAACCTGCGCTATGGTTTATGTCGTTCCTTTGCTCACAGAGGTCTTGCTGAAACTTGTAGAGGTTCTCCGAGTGTGCTTTATTCAGAATATGCACAAACTGGCTTTGATCACTGCTGTCATAAACATAAAGAACCGCCCCTTCAACGCTCAGCATGTCACTCCAAATTCTTCTCTGGACCCAAAGGGAAGAAAAAGGTAAAAAAAAAATTTGGCATCCATGCTTTGGTCACAAAATACCGACATGTATGATTTGCTGTTTATTACTGATCCCAGTCGCACCACCCTGACAGCTTCTGTCGATACGAACACGCGCACGCACACACACACACAGACAGACACACAGAGATAAAGGTAGGTTTGTTGTAGTTCTGGCATCGAGAAACCTCACAATGTAGTCCCATATTCGAGGTTCCCGACCGGAATATAAATTAGCGGAACGTGAGCGGCAAGTGGGGCCGGAAAAGTTCCTTCAGCCCTTTAGAGAACATGTTCTACAGCACAGCTGCTGCAGAACCTTCCTCTGGCACAGATTGTTCTTTTTCACAAGCACACAGAAACTTCCCTCAGCCCACGATTCTTCATTTGCTTTCCAGAGAGCAGGAAGAGGAGAGAGGAGCAGAAACAGAGCACGCGATCGGGCAGCGGAGAGGAAGCGATGCAGATCGTAGCGAGGTGATAGGTGACAGGCGAATGTTGTTTTGTTTTGTTTTTATCCAGTTGATTGTTCGACGGACGGAGGATATCCGGGTGTGATTGGAATCCAGGATGAAAAGATTTGAAGGAAAGATCATCGGGAAGAAAAGGAGAACAAACATTTAGAAAGTGATTTAAAAATAAAATCATTTTTACAGTGTCACAGGTTTGCAGAGTGTCTTTATTTTCCTTTGCTAGAAAAAGCACACATTATGCTCCACTGTAAAAATGAAGCCCATGTTGAACTCAAGGTTCCCAAAATGCGCTTGGGTCATCAGAGGTAACACTTTACAATTAGGTCTCATTTGTTTACATTTGTTCATTTATTAACTAACACGAACTGACAATGAGCAATACATTTGTTACAGTATGTATTACCATCTTAGTTCATGTTAGTTAATTACAATCCAGCTGGGTATTGTTTGCTCTAGATCACGGTGCATTAAGGCGAGACACGGCAGGCAAAAACATTTTGGGATATTTGTCTTCAATAACATGTCTTCTTTCAGACTTGTGGTGAAAAAAAAGTCCAAAATACACATTTAGGTCTTTATTTTACTACACTTTGTCTGTTTGCGTCGGTAGATTTCTCAAAAATTCTTTTAAAGTTGTCGTCATAAATCATCCTGCTGCTCAGCGATCGCGATCTGCACCCTGTCATAACATCAGTGTTGGGTGTAACTAATTACTAAGTAATTAGTTACTGTATTTTAATTACTTTTCCCTTGAAAATGTAAATTAAGGGATTACTCTTCATTTATCTGCAATTTAATTACAGTTACTTCTGATGCAATTGAGGTAAATACTGTGAATAGATCAATCCGATCTCACAGCGATTCGTATGCATTTTATGAGGTGTATAAATCGTACGAACGCACTCGTAGAAATTCGTATGAATTATTGTAAAATATGTATGAAAAAAACTGTGAAATGTCATGAGATTAGACATAAAACAATAGTGGGTTTAACATCAAAATGTATTGTCTGATGTTAAAAATTATGTTTTTATAATGTAACCTTCTCCACCTTGGTCAGTTTAAGGATAATTCATGCAATTTTATAGTATTTATTTGAAAGAATTAAAACAGAGTCATGTCCTTGTATTATTCAGCTGGCTGAGATTGATATGGGATTTTGAAAGTAATTAGTAATTAAAAGAAATTAAATACTTTTTAGAGAGAGTAATTGGTACAGTAATCTAATTACACTGTTGAAGAGGTAATTAGTAACTAGTAATTAATTACTTTTTTTGAGTAATTTACCCAACACTGCATAACACACACCGTTAGAAATCTCTCTTTCTCCAGTACAACGCTGTTGGATCCAAATATGGTCATTTCCTTTTTATAAGCAACCAATCGTGAAAGTAAAAGGGGGATTTAACTCTAAATGCACAATCTCATTGGCTGATGCTAAATCTTTAAGGCCAGTTTTCTCAAAATGACTTTTCTCTCAAACTCCAAGTCCGAAATCTCCACTTCAGTAGCACCTACGGTATACACCAGACTTTCCAGTCTTGTACCTAGTAATATTATGAAGACATTTACAGAGGGATTTGTAAATATATTATTCCTAGCCTGATTTATATAACATTTTATTCAAAAAAAAAATGGCGAAAATAATGTTTTTTAAGGCAATTGGCTGTATATTCTGATTTACAGGATAACAAAAGTAGATATCCATAAATCCCTGTGTAATTGTTTTCTCGTGATCTAATGTGTGAACACAATGAAAAAAGAATTTTGAACCTGGCTTTATTCAGTGCTCAGATTTCATTTTTTAAAATACATATTTCATTAGATAATGCCTCATTTGCATATTTAAACATTAAATTACAGAAAACTTGTAATATTTTTTTTTCTCATCTTAATGTAGGTAATCGACTTGGAAAGTTTCATTGTGATATCTGCTAGTTAAATCTTTTTTTTACCCTATTCTCCTGTAGTGTCTCGCCTTAACTAATGTTAACAAAACTAATTCCGATTTCCATAATGTATCAGTAAATGTTTTATTAAAATTAACTTAAATTAAGTATTGTTCATTATTAGTTCATGTTAAAGTTCTGTTGTGGTGAAAATCAAGTTTGTAATGTGTTTTTAATATGCTTTAAGACAAACCATGTTCACTGGTGTTTCTGATGTCACAAACTACCTTGTAACCAATCACGTTAACGTGTGATCATCAACTAGTGGATCTCTGAGCTGGCGTGAGTGAGTGGAGGCGGGGCTAATTTTCATATTTATAGAATCGTGTATACTAATTGGGGCAAGGGTGTAGTTACATTCAAGCTATTTTAAGCCATGAAGACACTAAATATGTCACTAAATATGAAAAAACGCTAAATATGTCATTTTGGTGATCAAAGATGAGTTTACTTTTAAGGGATAAAATTATTGATTACGGAGGACTTTTAAACTAATGAAAACTTATTGTAAAGTGTTACCCATAAAGAAAAATTTGAGAATAAATTGTCCTGAAATATTGGGCACATCTCAAGAAACCAGACATATTTCACCTCAAAATCAGAAGAAATTATGTTCAAAATTATATTTTGAATTAAATAAAATAATTTATATTAATACATTTTCTTAATGTAAAGTATTAATGCATCATTTGTTGTGCTGCAAATATAAATTTAAAAACCCATTACAAAAACTGAGAATCGATATTGAGAATCATGGGAAATAACAGTACTTTTCACAGGTTTAGGGTCACTACATTTTTTTTGAAAGAAATTAATACATAATGCATTCAGCAAGGAAACATTTTTACATTAAAAATGGATATTTTAAATTTATACTGTTCTTTTGAATGTTCTATTCATTAAAGAATACTGAAAAAAATATTAGGCATCACAACTATTTTCAATATTGATAATAATAAGAAATGTTTCTTGAGAAGCAAATCAGCATTATAGAATGATTTCTGAAGAATCATGTCAGGACTAACAATGCTGAAAATTGTGTGATTATTTCACAAGATTAAACAAAATTTGAAAATAAACTCAAATTCAAAAAAAAAAAAGTTATTTTAACTTGTAGTATTTAGCAAATGTTGGTCAGCATAATTTCTGGACTCAGAATTTCAACATTCTGACGTTCTGTAAAACATTCACACGCACAATAATAAGAATGTGCTTTAATCTGGAACCCCCCTCCCCCTCTCAAAAAAGTGTAATTTTTTATTTATTTTGGGGTGAAATGTGCTCTGGACATGTTTTTTTTTTTTTTTTTTTTCCAAAAAAGGCAATATCAGAAAGACAAAATCAACAAACCATGATTAATCCCCATGCAAAACTAAAATATTTTGCTGTACAAAAGATTCAGAGTAAAGAAAACACGAAAGCTAACAGGGATGAATCTACGGTACTCACCATCTTTGCAGATGGTGCTGACGACACACAAACCATTTTCCAGGTTATATCCATTGACACAGGAGCTGCAGTTCCCCTCCCCCGGGCCTGCGCAGGCGTAGCATGTAGGATCACACCTGGAGGCACAATCACACATCCGCCACGTGTCAAACGCATCATTACCGCCTTCAATGGAAACACTTTCTCAGATGTCACATTCAGCAGTGAAGTACTGACTTTTGACAGGACTTTTGGACGTCTCCGTTGTCTTTCGTTTGTTCCGCCAAGTAATATCCCACACTGCAGCTGGAGACGCAACGCCACTCCTCGAAGTAATAGTTCGGAGCGCAGTCATTACACGCTTCCATGCCAGTTCCTGAGAACATGGACGACATAACATCATGCGCCACAAAAAGCAGACCGCAAATAATGAGATGCATAGAAGGCCATTGGCCATAGTGTATTTCACTCAAAAAAATGAACTAGGGAGGTTGTGCACTTTACATAATATGTTTATATATAGTTTACTTATAATAATTGTTTTTTGACTTTACATGTTTTTTTCTATTAAGGTCTATGTAATTGTGTCTCAACTTGACAGTACAAAATCCTAATGTGTTGTCTAAACACAAACCATTTATGCTAAGTAAAAAATGTGTACATCCAGAGGGTGGCAGTATAGTGTGAGCCGACTGCCATTTTGCCCGAACTTAATTTTATTGTGTTCAATCTGCTAAAATCTATGAACAACTTGAGTTTACTTAATCTGTTTGTGTTGGATTACATGATTGATTTGTGTTGCCTTAACTGAAACTGGGCAGTGCTCTTAGTTCCCAGCATGCTTTGCATATGGTTGAATTAAGAGAGGAAAAAAGTTAAAATTAAGTGTTATTTTATGTTTGTTTTTTTGAGTAATTTAGAAAATGGGAAGACTTGATAGTGTGTAATAGTGTTTAATGTTAAATTGCATTGGAATTATTAAACCATTTAAATTACAGTGGGTTACCATTGTGGAGAAGAGTGGGGAATTTTTTTCGACTGTCGACCTATTTCACTAATTTCAATTGCCTTGAATGAAGCAGCATGTAAATCTTAGCATTCAAGATGCTAATATGTGCTTCTGCTAGCAAATAGCTAGCTAAAGTCTATCACTTTAATTAAATGTCACTGAATCAAATGAAATATAAATGGATGAATGAATATAATAAAATGCCTTTGAATCACGTCAGGAAGTCTTTAAAAATTCACGTTGAGACTACTTAAATTGGGTAATTTAAAATTACATAATTCTATTATGTTAAAGTTACATGAACAAATTATGTTTGTTTAACGTAATCCAGTTATGTGGAACCTGTTGACAAATTATAATTAATTAAAGCCAACATATCATTTTTTTGAGTGTAGTTACAAAAACACAAATAATTTGTGACTTCACATTTCATTAGGGATGGAAGCTAATCTCAGAAAGAATGAATTCACTGATTTAGAGGCATGGACAAAAATGTACATATGTAAATTGCGTGTTAGAAATCAGGAATGGCGAGCGAACATTGTGCTCTTCAAAACAAACTTGGGTCTTCAGCCGACAAATTTTAAATCCTGTCTGGCTAGCGCGCTTCCCTTCATGTTTACGCATTAAGTTAGAGTATGTGTCTTTTGTGGCGTTTATACTATGAATGCAATCTGGTTGAATGGGTTTTTGACTACCTCTGGAAGTGGTCAAAAGTGGACATGCTTAAAACGTTTACACCCCGTTTGCACCCGCATTTAGTGTCGTCCACTTGTGATCCGATCGACCAAAATGCATCTTAATACCAGGTGTAAAAAGGGCCTGAGAGTCAAAGGTTTCAAACGACAAAAATCGGTGTTGCCTACATTGTGTTATCCTCTTTTTAAAATTCGCATCCTGTTGACTTCAATGGGGCAAGTTCTAAACCTGCTTTTAACCTCTTAACATCCTTGATATGTCATTACAAGTGCACAGCCATGTGAGTGGTGTTATTAAGAGTGACTACGGTCAATCTGACTTCAGTAGATGTGAAACATATTAATAAAAATGGTGTTAATTCAGCCAGCTCACATTCCTGTATTTACTTCCTGTTTTTGGTCGAAGTCCACAGTAGTTGATTGTCGAGTTTGCGCTAACTAAGGTAACTAAGCAACAGTGTAGACTCAGACTGTCAGCCAATGACGGTGCTGTGTGGTGTTCTGAGAATATCAGCTCAAATGGATAATTCATCCATATCAGATGTTGAACACACGGAGGAGGTTTTTGAGTTTCATTTTTACCAATGATCACGCGCGCGACAATCGACTACTGTGGGCTTCTACCGATAACAGGAAGTAAATACAGGTATGTGAGCTGGCTGAATTAACATAATTTTTATTAATATCTTTCACATCTACTGCAGTCAGATTGACCGTGGTCACTCTCAGAGGTGAGACCAACTCATTGTTTTGCAAGTCACAAGTAAGTCTCGAGTCTTTGCATTAAAGTCCCAAGTCAAGTCCCGAGTCAAGACCCACAAGTCGCAAGTCCTCGAGTTCAAGCTTCAAGTCTTAAACAAGTCATTAGTGCTTTTTGCAAAAAATTACTGTCTCCGTGTTAATTACTATAGTAAATGAAATGTATACTAATTTATATCAGGAAGGCTTTTAAAATATGATATAATATAATAATACATAATATTATCATATTTATTCAAACTTAGTGGATGTTGATTGGTTGGTTGTCTGGTTGGTTGAATGTGAAGAGAGGCAATGCAGATTTAAAAATAAAAAAAACAAAAGTAACTGTTCATTGGGAAAATTTATCGTGATTTGCTAGCCTAGAAATCTAGACGCACCCTAGCGGCAGCAAAAAATATTTTGCAGCAAAGTGTGGTCTAGCAACTCTCCATAGACGTTTGAGCTGGAAAACCCCAACTCTGGTAGGGCCAATCACATCGTGTATAGAGTCGGCGGGCGGGCTTAACATAATGACGACAGAGTTGAGCCGGTCAGAGCAAGCTCGGACATATTCGGTCTGAAGTCGTTCATCCTCGGATGCGGCCGGCGCCGCGCGTGCTGTTACAAAAAAGCTGTGGCGAAACGATCAACTTGTCATTTTTGCCCACTCGTGCTGTGGCGTCGAGGATAAGGCTTTACTCCGTGTCAGTGCGCGCTCTGATCGGTATAGGTGCACGGACCTCTCCCGAATCATCTCCACCACCCCGAAGCACCACTACTCCGGCTCCGTTTCCCTCGTAAGCTGATATTAATATTTAAACATTCTCTATGATATAATTTTTTTTTAATGACACACTGTCTCTTTCTCTCTCATACACACAAAAACACACACATACTGTCTCTTTCTCTCTCACACATATGTAGGCTAGTTATAAACTCTTTTGACTTTTAATGATTAGTGTTTTATTTTTAAAGTTTGCAGGTCGTGTAAAAAACAAAAAAATCCCTTATTTTGGGGATGGATTCTGGGAAATCTCTCTTATTTTCAATGTTGACAGCTGGACTGGATGCGGTAAAAGTTTAATATATCAACTTGCTCCGCTGAGTACGTCACCTTCTTCGTTGCTCTGATTGGCTTTAGCGCTATCCAATTGCGTGCAGAGAGAATTTGAAAGACAACCGTTTATCCCGCCCCTCGGATTGAGCCCCGTCAATGATTAGTGATGGGCGATACTGCAAATTTCTGTATCGATCCGATACCAAGTAAATAGAGGGCCAGTATCGCCGATATCGATACCGATACCGATACTTTTTCATTTTAAAAGCATGCATTTGAACTTGTTAAATCTGAACATGTTTTCAAGACTACTAGGCCTAAATAGCTATTTTGTGATTTGTGCTCTCAACTACCCTTTAATTAGTCAGTGACTTTTACAAAACTACCCTAATTATAGTACTAGCACTAGTCTACTGTTCAAAAGTTTGGGGTCTTTAAGATTTTTATTTCTCTTAGTAAAAACTGTAATATTACAATTTAACAATTTAACATAGGCTATCTGTTTTCTATGCCATACTAAACTGTAATTTATTCATGTGATCAAAGCAGAATTTTCGGCATCATTACTCCAGTCATGATAATAATTCATTTTAATATGCTGATTTGCTTCTCAGGAAACATTTCTTATTTTATCAATGTTGAAAACAGTTTAATATTTTGTTGGAAACCATGATACATTTTATGCAGAATTATTTGATGAACAAAGTTGAAAGAACATCATTTATATGAAGTAGATTTTTTTAACAGTGTAAAACCCTTGACTTTCACTTTTGATTAATTTAATGCATCGATCCTTGTTGAATAAAAATATTAATTTCATAAAAAAGATATTACTGACGTCAACATTTTAAACCGTTATGTACAGTTTTGGTTTGTTTATTGCGAAATAACTCCCGATTGCTTCTCTGTCGTCTAAGCAAGGCTTCGTTTCCCAAACGCACTGGGCCTGTGAGCTCAGCGAAGCACCAGCATCGAACGCTCTCTGTGATTGGTTGGTTTCGTCTTGTATAGAGATGACTAGTAGAAAAGGTTCTATCCTACACAACCCGCTAACATTCGCTTATTTTCCACTTAGAAGCTTATTTTTCGCACTGAATTGCGTGCTAAATTATTAAAAAATTACTGGTTAAAAAAATGCACATTTGGATCGATATTTTTATGTGAGGATCGATCCTTTTCGATACCATGTCAGTATCGAAGTATCGATACTTCAGGATCGATCCGCCCATCCCTATCAATGATGAGTTTCCAGACCTAACATCTTGATGTAGGTCTGGCATGCCAGGCTAGTGATTTGCTGCACATTAAGTTTAAAATATTGAGTCCCTGGTTAAACTATTTTGTTAACGCGACAGTAATTGTACTAGAACATTTCTTTTTCCATGGCGACATATCAAGCGTCACGTGACACTTTTTGGGGCTATGTGCCATAGCTATGTTCCTGTCATTTACAAAATGTAACGTAAATCCATCCATTTCTCCCAAAAGACATGAAAGTGAGTGGCTGGTGAACAGGGAGAAGACTTTATAGTTACCTATAGGCTAAAATGTGCGTTTGTTGTGGGGGAAAAAATAACATGTCTCAAAATTACATTTGAATGGTTTATTATTTCCGCTTACTTAGTTTCTTTCTCAAATTATAAATGGTTCGCTAGTACTTGTGTATTTAAATGCCTGAAAAAGAAAACAGAAAACATTATTTGGTTGAAAACTGTCTGAAAGTGTGATAATAAATGACAACTGACACGCGCTGCTGAACGCACTCTATCACGTGTTCTCTGGCTCAGTGCCAAACGTGCGAAAGCAGCGCTAATCAGCGCTGTGATCATGCGTCAATGACACAGCACTATACTACAGTCAGCGATTATTACAACTCTGATCTGTGGTTTTAGAAGGTAGGTCAAGTCTTTCCAAGTCACAGGGCTCAAGTCCGAGTCAAGTCGCGAGTCATTATTGTCAAAGTCTAAGTCGAGTCGCAATTCATCTTTGAATATGTCAAGTCGAGTCGCAAGTCATCAAATTTGGGACTCGAGTCCAAGTCAAGTCCAAGTCATGCGACTCGAGTCCACAACTCTGGTCACTCTTAATAACACCACTCATATGGCTGTGCACATATAATGACAAATAAAGGATGTTAAAGGACAACTCCGGCGCAAAATGAACCTTTGGTCTAATTACACATTGTTACCTAGTAAACCGTTATCTGAGATTTGTTTTCATGATTGCCGAATGTAAATAGTTTTATCTCAAAAAACAGTTTAGCCTATAACGCTAGTATAATGCTAGTATATAGGGCATAGAGTAATGACAAATAAAAATCGCTTGTTATTACCACTAAAAAGGCTCAAAATAGCCCCACACCAACGCGACAGCATAACAAGAGTCCCTACATTCAAACCGAAGCATTGAGAACTTTGTCAGTGTCCAAACAGTTTAATAAGAAGATATTTTATACACACAGTCAACTTCGCGAATACAGGAAGAAGCCATCTTGGAAAAATAGTCTCGACCAGTCGATCTACGAACGCCAATCCAAGTGCGCTGGTGAGATGTGAATAAGGTGATAATGTGAGCGCGAACAGTAGGCTACGTGTACATATTGAAGACAAGTAAACGGTTTGTGTTTGTGTTTCTTCTGGAAACAACGGACCATATGAGATTCTGCACAGTTCAGCGCACTTGGATCGGCGCTCGTAGATCGACTGGTCGAGACTATTTTTCAAAGATGGCTTCTTCCTGTATTCGCGAAGTTGACTGTGTGTATAAAATATCTTCTTATTAAACTGTTTGGACACTAACAAAGTTCTCAATGCTTCGGTTTGAATGTAGGGATCCTTGTTATGCTGTCGTGTTGGTGTGGGGCTATTTTGAGCCTTGTTAGTGGTAATAACAAGCGATTTTTATTTGTCATTACTCTATGCCCTATATACTAGCATTATACTAGCGTTAAAGGCTAAACTGTTTTTAGAAATAAAACTATTTACATTCGGCAATCATAAAAACAAATCTCGGATAACGGTTGACTAGGTAGCAATGTGTAATTAGACCAAAGGTTCATTTTGCGCCGGAGTTGTCCTTTAAGAGGCTAAAAGCAGGTTTAGAACTTGCCCCATTGAAAATCAACAGGGTGCTAATTTTAAATAGAGGATAACGCGGTGTAGGCAACACCGATTTTTGTCGTTTTTTTCTGTGCTGACAGCTCTCCAAATGTACAAAAAAATGAGCTCAATGTTAAAATTGACCGGAGTTCTCCTTTAATCAATTTAGTGTAAATGCATTGTACATACGATTTTCATTGTACAATTTAAGTAACTCCCGTTATAATAAATAATATAATAGAATTAATTTAGCTTGCGCTTTAGAAAACAACAGCCTTAGTGATTATAAAAGGGAGGCTCTTCTCTTGCTTTCTATTTATTAGTCATTCACAATCTGAATACAAGTTTAGTTTTTCGTGCTGCTAAATTTCTGAATTGACAAGCATATTTAAATGTGAAATTGAATTGGAAACTGCGATGACTGATAATCGATAAGACAAAACTGGACAAAAGTCCTTAATTCTGCAGTTTTTTGCTATATACTGAAATTGGTACAGCAAACTGGTGTTACTGGATGTTACTGCTACCAAGTAATGAGATTTTAGTACCGTGATAACCGACATATGTCATAATTTTGATTTTAGTATTAATGACATGCTAATAAATAAAAATTCTAAACTGACATGAAAACTCAATTATGAAATTATTAGAACCTAAGTAAAAATTGTGAGATAAAAAGTCAAAATGATTTCAGAATTATGACTTTTTAAATATACATATTTATATATATATATATATTTATATATATTTTATGCACCATTTTTTAAATCTGGTGCAGAATCAGAGCTAACAACAGTAATTATGCTGGATGAACTATATTCAGAAGCTAAGCACTGGTTGTTCTGCAAAGCATTAGTAATTAGCTGCCGTGTCTGAACACTGGAGTTAACGGCACAGACATAACGGTCTCAGAAGGCACAGTCTTGTTAAGTCTAGAACTTCAAAATTACATAATACTGTGCATCACAACGAATATAGCTTCTCTTCATTTTTGGATTAAAAATTGCTGACTAATAGGGGCATATATGCATTACAAAAATATAATGGCCAATCAGTGTTCTCTCCCACAGTTTATTTTATTTTATATTTTATAACTAGTTTATTTTTCATTATTTTATAAATTACATTTAAGTGAAAGGTTGTAATCAACTTCTATTGTAAGCCTAAATGGAAAATAAAGTGCTTTAAATAAATGTACAATGTTTACCTGCACAGGTGGCACAAGTCGTGTGGCACTTTTCACATGCCCGTCGGTGCCCATTATAATAGGTCCCAACTTCACAGCTCAGTTGGCACTTATTCGCCTGTAGGCTGTAGACAGAAAGAGAGAATTACTCAAAAAGGGTTCAACGCTGAGGCTGAGACACAAATATATTTCTTACACTTTACATCACTGTATAAAATTTATTAAAGGAGCAAACCTCCATAGGGGGCGCCAGAGTATGTCAGAACAAAAGGATATTAAATTTACCAAAAAAATATATATAATAAATAAATATAGAAATATATATATATATATATATATATATATATATATAAACAAAAAAATATAAACAATAATAAAAATATGTAAATAATGATATATAAACTAAATATAATATTCATGACAATTAATATGTAATATTTCTAAACCAAGAAAACCATTTCTAACATATTTAATTGGATAGAAATTGCTATTTGTTGTACAAAAAAATACCTGTTAATACCATGATTCATGCATATACATTTATGTAAATAAACCATAAAGAACAGTAGGCAGAAATCTATATTTAAATGTGTATCCATTTTTGATCATATTCACCAGGGGTGCCATTAATTCTGAGCACCACTGTGTATATATCTATGTGTAAAAAATAAATTTGCAATGTTTATCCTTTTGATCTTTCATTAAAAAAATAATAATTATAATTCGCACAAATCTACCCTTTCATTGAAGTACAAGACTTGAAAGTGTGTGTGTGTGGCTCCCTGTTGTTAAATACTTTTTACAACCTCCTTTTGCCAAGATAACAACTCTGAGTCTTCTCCAATAATGCCTGATGAGTTTGGACAACACCTAACAAGAGACCATTCCTCCTTACAGAATATCTCCAGATCCTCCAGATTCACAAGTTCATGTTGGTGCTTCTCTTCAGTTCACCCGACTTTTTCTATAGGGTTCGGGTCTGGGACTGAGACGGTCATGGCAGAAGCTTAATTTTGTGCTCAGTGACCCATTTTTGCATTGATTTTGATGTTTGTTTTGGACCCTTGTCCTGATGTAAGATCCAAACACACCCCATTATAAAATTTCTAGCAGAGGCCATGAGGTTTGGATTTTTTATATGTTGGTATTTGATAAAATCCATACTACCATGTATCTGAACAAGATGTCCAGGACCTCCAGCAAAAAATAGGCCCACAACATATAAGATCCAGCAGTATATTTAACAGTAGGCATGGAGTACTCTTCATCCCTGTTTTCACCAAACACATCTTGTGTTTGCTGCCAAAAAGCCCTTTTTTGTTTCATCTGACCACAGAACCCTGTGCCGTTTTAAGATCGGTTCATCCACTAAATATACTAGAGTTTGTTTTTGGATGAGCGAGGAGGATTTTCCTTGAGACCCTTCAAAACAACATGTGATGTAGGGGTTGTTTGATATATCTTTTAGGCTTTCTGAACCCCAAGACTCAACTAATCTCTGCAATTCTCCATCTGTGATCCTTGAAGAGTCTTTGGCCACTCAAACGTTCATCCTCCTCACCGTCCATTAAAGGGTTAGTTCACCCAAAAATGAAAATTCTGTCAGTATTTACCCTCATGTTGTTCCAAACCTCAATGTGTTTATTTGTTCTGCTGAACACAAAGGAAGATATTTGGAAGAATGTTTTAATCAAACAGATCTCATTCCCCATTGACTACCATAGTAGGAAAAAAATACATACTATGGTAGTCAATGGGGAATGAGATCTGTTTGATTAAAACATTCTTCCAGATATCTTCCTTTGTGTTCAGCAGAACAAATCAACACATAGAGGTTTGGAAGAACATGAGGGTTAGTAAATACTGACAGAATTTTTATTTTTGGGTGAACTAACCCTTTAAGGCAGTGTTTCTCAAACTTTTTCAGCCCAAGGACCACTTTATCTTCCATTTTTTTTCTGAGGACCACCTAACAAAATCCCACTCTAACACCCCCCCCCCCCCCCATAGGGTCACATAGGGTCAACTGATATAGGTTGATTTTGCCTATGAATAATTTTTTTATTTACTGAAAGCTAAAGCTTGGTAATTAAGTTTATTAACCCTTTCACACGTAAGTTTAAAATATTCTAACTGACCCCCACAGCGTGAGTTTTTCAAGGCGACCGTTATTTAGAACTTGCCACTTTAATGTTTCCATGGTGACGCGTCTTTGCTTGTCACGTGACACAGCACAACCAAAACAGAGCGCGGAATGAAGGATGTTCTGTTTTGTGTCATTTTTCCTCTTTTGTTAAAAATATTCATAAATGTATTAGCTATAACATGAAACACTGATATTCCGATTGTCAAATATGTGCAAGTGGATGGGTTTGACATTGTTTAAACATCTTTATAAAGATCGCGTTAGTTGAGCTTTTAGTTTCTTTTTCAGTTCAGAGAATCAGATCTGTTGGATTTATAACGTCAATTCCTCCACTTCTCACGAAATACATGATAGTAAGTGGCTGGTGAACTGGGAGAAGAATAGGGTCAAATGTAAAGCTACTTACACAATGTGTATCTGATATGAATAAAACGTGTTGTTGTCTTATTATAACTGAAAAGATTATTGCCGCTTCCATAGACATCAGTGTGTATTTTACAAACTCAAAATCATTGTTTTGCTAGTACTTATGTATATTTAAATGTCTGAAACCTAAAATAAACATTGAAAACACTCAATAGTTGTGTTATATGACAGCTCTGACGCTGCCTTCACACTGGCAGTTGAAATCAGCTCCGTAATACGCAATACGTTCCCAACGGACGTCGTACTACACAGTGAAAAGCGTCGGACGCGGGTAGAACAAAAATGGCGGAGAGATTAAAGTTTGATTCTCTCTGATTAGGGTTATGCTGCGTGAGGAAAGTTGCTCAGGACGTTGACATGTCAGGTCGGCTAAAAAATGTGATATAGTGGTCAATAGTTCAATGTCTACCTTCAATTTAATTGTATTAACTGCAATTATAAACGTTAGAAAGTCATGAAAATAAAAAATGACATCACAACTTATCGTTATAAAATCAATATTTATTTTATTAAAAGTTAATAATTCAGGTTTGTTTATCAGTACCATAGCAACGGTCAACTTCCGCTGGAATTGTCGGATAGGAACCGCCCGTAGCTTTTCGCACGAGTTCAAATTTTTGAACGCATCCGGATGACCAACGGACACGATTTTCTTCGCACCGCACTCGGTCGGACCCGTTTCGGACCCATTCGCATGCGGTCTGCGAATCTCCATAGGAAATGAATGACTTCCGGTCGTTTCGCAGCCGCATCGGAGCTGATTTCAACTGCCAGTGTGAAGGCGGCGTGAGTGCGTCCGTCTCTGGCTTAGCGCCAGCCAGCGCGCGAGAGCAAGTTTGAATTTAGCAGTTGCTGACGTGAAGCACTGAACATTCTAATCACACCGGTGTGATCGTACGCTCCAGGGATCAGCCAAGAAGACTGATCACACTGGTACGTGCGAAAAAGTGACGATTTGGTAAACACTTGCCTAGTTTAGGTCATCTTTCGCGGACCACTAGGGGGCGATGGCGGACCACACTTTGAGAATTACTGCTTTAAGGCAATATAGACACTCCTGGCAGATTCGTATCATCTTTAGTTGATTGGAACTTCTTAATTCTCACCCTGATGGTCAAAATGGGATTTTTCTATTCTTTAGCTATTTCTTACAGCCACTTTCTATTTTGTGAAGTTCAACAATCTTTTGATGCACATCAGAACCATGTTCTTTGGTTTTATTCATTGTGATGGATGATTCAGGGAATGTGGCCTTTGTGTTTCCTCATGTTTTAACTCCTGTGAAGCAAGAAGTCATAGTGTTCCTAGTCCTCCTGGTGTGCTAAAAAAAGATAAATATTAATGGGAATGTACTTCAGAGATATTTTACTTGTAAAAAATTCTAGGGGTACCAATAATTGTGGCCAGACATTTCATAATGTGATTTCCCCCCACTTCCAAGTATTTTACTTCAACGAAAGGTTAGATTTTTGCTATTTTCTTAATGAAAGATCAGAAGGATAAACAATGCAGATTTAATTTTTTACAGGCATTTTTGATCACATTTACCATTTGCCATTAATTCTGAGCACCACTGTGTGTGTATATATATATATATATATATTTATATGCGTGTGCGTGAGTGATTATAGTAGACTACAAAAAAAATGAATGACTAGCCATATGAATAATTACAAAGACTGTAATTGCAACCTTAAACTGAGGGCAGAAAAATGTATCTCATCTGCGCTCTAGCTCTGCAATCCAGTTTCATACGAACTATAGTCTAAACAAGTCTGAATAGATCAACAACGACGGATTAAAGTCCAAATGAGTGGGTGAAAAACCTTTATGTATATTCACAGAACGCTTCAAAACAATTCACAGAACAGCTGCTGCGTATTACAGCTGACCCGTTTTTCTGTTCTCTCTCCATTTTCCACATATCTCTCTCTCTCTTTATCTAACGCCAGAGAGGAGTAGGAAAAGCCCAAGTAAAAATTGCTCACTAGAGACAGTATTTCAACATACATCTGAACTCAAGAGCTCGACAACGTGTAACAGGATGTTTCCAATGATAATTTAGTGTCTGGCCAGCGTGGCCTTACCTTGAAAAAAATGGGAGTCCAAGATTCCGACTATATTTCAGTCCAAATCTTAGTAAAAAACAAAGAAATCCCTAGGAGGTGGAATATTGTATTCGCAACGGGCTGAATGTGGGGAATCACCTGAGACCAGTTTGGCATTCTGTGCAGATGTTCGCCGAGGTGCATTTCTTGCAGTTGTCGCTGCATTTCCGGCACATGGTGGAGTCTGCGGGAGAACAATCACATGAGGTCTCAATTCAACATTCATCTTCAGCCAATCAGCATGTACAGTGCGTTTTCTGGAGTGAGATGGCGTGTGAATGGACTTGCCAAGGTCCAGGTAGAAGCCGTCGAGACAGGAGCTGATGCAGTTGTTGGCTCCCTCCACCAGGTAGAGACCCGGGCGACAGGTGGAACACTGATCGCTGCGACTGCCGACACAAGACTCGCACAGCGGAGAGCACTTCTTACAGCGCTTCTTATCGTCCCGGAAAAACCCAGACGGACACTCGGGAACACACGTCCTGAGAGACGCACAAGGCGGAGGTGGAAAGAGAAAGACAGACACAGACAGGAAGAGCCACATGAGACCAGAAAAATCAACATCTGGCAGTCGTGAGGAAAGACTTTCACCAGGAAACAAAGGCAAAAGTCAGGGTCTGAGAAAGCCATCAGCTCCAGACGTGGTGTGAGCACGGCTTGTGTAGCTTGGGATGCCAGAGAAAACAATATCTATAAATGTAATCAGGACACGCGCAGACAGACGCAGCCGTACAGCTGTTGTCGTCATGCGATTTGGTGTTTTTATAGGAGTTAATTAATCTTTTGACTCAAAGTTAAATCATTTTCACTAATATTTTTCAGAAAAAAAAACCTTTCAGAAAACACCCAATTCTTTAGTCATAATGCTTCATATTGTGGTCTTATATTTCACACCAAACTTACTTTAGTTTTAAATAATAATTAAAGAAAAGCAGCACTGCTAACAGAAAATTCATTTAGCCAAATGGGTCAACAAACAAGAGAGAGTGTACAATAGAAAAGGGAAAATCTAGTTCAAAACACACGTGCCAAGTTCTTAGAAATGTGCTTAATATTTGAAATCTGTAAATGTGTGCTCATGTCCATTTCACACACTAGCGTTCAAAAGTTTGAGGTCGGTAAGATTCTCGTTTCATTATTCGATGAAAAATACAGCAAAAACAGTAATATTGTAAAATATTATTATAATTTCAACTGTTTTCTATTTTAATAGTTTTAAATGTATTTATTCCAGAATTTTTAGCATCTATTACTGCAGTGTTCAGCATTACTTGATTCAAAATTCATTCTAATATGCTGATTTGGTGCTCAAGAAACATTATTATCAATCCTAATAACAGTTGTGCAGCTTAATATTTTTGTGGAAACTCTAATAAAAACAATTCAGGATTTTTATATTAATAGAAATTTCAAAAGAACAGCATTTATTTGAATATATATTAGGGCTGTGCAAAAGTTAATTGCGATTAATCGCATCCAAAATAAAAGTCTCTGTTTACATAGTATATTTGTGTGGGCTGTATATAATTATTTTGTATATATAAATACACACACATGCATGTATATGTTTAAGAAAATGTGTTATTCCTATATAAAATATTTATATTTGTATAATATAGATTATGTATTTATATATATATATACAGAATTTAAGCGCAAATAATTCTTAAATATATACATGCATGCATAGGTATTTATATATACAAAATAATTATATACAGCACACTCAAATATATTATGTAAAACAGACTTTTATTTTGGATGCGATTAATCGCAATTAACTTTTGCACAGCCCTAACATATATATATATATATATATATATATATACTGTATATATATATATATATATATATATTCTGAGGCATTATAAGTCTTAACTTTTGATCAATATAATACACCCTTGCTGAAAAAAAGTATTTTTTTAGCATACTGACCCTCAACTTTTGAATAGTAGTGGTTTCAACACAAATTATATTTTCACTCTAAATAGCATCCTAACATCCCGATCATGTAAATAAATGTTAATGTATTACTTTTTTCAAAATAACATTAAGTTAAAAAGTATTTTTTTTTTTTTACAAATACCATGAATTATTAATTCATAAATATCAGGTTCAACCAAAACTAACCTTGCCATGTCATAAAAAGAAGATCACATTTGTTTGCACGTTGGATATACCACACAAGAAGCATTTTTATCATGCGTTTCTATTACGGCTGTCAGTTAAACGCGTTATTAACGGCGTTAACGCAAACCCATTTTAACGGCGTCAATTTTTTTATTGCGTGATTAACGGTCTTTTTGGCCTAGCAAACTTTGTTGTTTATTTCACATGCTTTTGCAACCTGACGCGGGTTGCGCGGTGCTACACTGCACTCTGAAGCCCATTCATTTCACTGGCTTCACTGGACATTAAGCGAGGACATTAAGTTGCTTCATCGACCAAAGTGCAAGCGGATCTAGCTAGACCTGAAACAAGACCAAAGTGATCTGTGTGTTTTTTCGTTGTGAACTGAGCTATCATCATCGCAGAAAAAAAAAAAAATAACAGGACAAAAAGAAATCAAGAGACATTAAGAATAGATAGAAATGTGCAATTAATCATGAGTTAACTATGACATTAATGTGATTAATCGCGATTAAATATTTTAATCGTTTGACAGCACTATTTTCTATATATAATGTGTCCGAAAAAACAAACAAAACAAAAAAACGATGGACATCATTTCACGGACACAAGCAACACTGTTTAAATGACAAAAATGTGTTTAAATGACAAAAACAAACAAACAGAAAAGCAACACAGCAATCAAGTATAGTTTTTAAGGTGTAATAATGTTGTGAAAAGCAATATACCTGGTGTTGTTCTTGAACTTGAGGAAGTAGTGTAGACAGGTGATGCACTGCTGAGGGCCTGGCCCTTCACAGCCATGGTCACCACACTCAGGGTGGCAGGAGCCTCATGTAAGAAAACAAAAACTGATGAGCTGAGCTCTGAGAACTTCCACAGATACACAATAATATTAAAAAAAGCACTTACCCACATACTCCTCACTGTACTCGTCATCAGACTGTGTCTCCGCCACTGAGCGAGGCTTGTCACTGCGGAATGAGTACGGATGCACGGAGGTACCATAAAGTACCAGAGACCACTCTTTCAGCTTGCCTGGAACAAATTACAAGCCATGTGCAATTAAGTTAAGCTATCACATATCATTAAATTAGTATCTATCATCTGTGTGTGTGTATAGAGAGAGCGATCCATGTGATGATATACATTCGTAGATTTTTAATTTTTTAAAGAAATACTGTAGAGTTGTTAGCTATAGGCAATTTATAACAAATATGCACTAAATCGGTTATAATGAAATGTGGCTATGGCAAGAATAACTCTAATATAACTTTTGTTTTATAAACATTACATCTAGACCAATGCAATACAAACATGAATTAAAAGGAGTAGTTTTTCCATATCATTTACTCACCCTCAAGCCATCCTAGGGTGTATATGACATTCTTCTTTCAGACAAATACAATCAGAGTTATATTAATAAATGTCCATCGCTTTGCTTCAAAAGGCCTGGAGCAATTTGGAGTTAGTTTATGATGGATGGATAAACTTTTTTGAAATTCAATCTGTTGGTTGCAATCCACTGCCATTATCAAGCTTGGAAGAACCAGGACTTTTTTAATATAACTTCGATTGTATTTGTCTAAAAGAAGAAAGTCATATACATGTAGGATGGCTTCAGGTGAGTACATTATATGGTAATTTTCATTTTAAAGTGAACTAATACTTTTACTTTATTAATTAACTTTTATGTCTCAGGTCTTACTACTGAAATTTGCATTATATATATATACACACACACACACACACACTATTTTGGCAAAAGTTTTGGGACGTCTGCCTTTACATGCACACGGATTTTAATGACACCCCTTTCTTAATACGAAAGGTTTAATATAGAGTTGGCCCACCCTTTGCAGCTACAACAGCTTCAACTCTTCTGGAAAGGCTTTCCTCAAAGTATAGGAGAGTGTTTATGGGAATTTTTTACCATTCTTATAGAAGCGCATTTGTGAGGCCAGGCACTGATTTTGGATGAGAAAGCCTGGCTCAGTCTCCGCTCTAATTCATCCCAAAGGTGTTCTATCAGGTCGAGGTCAGGACTCAGTGCAGGCCAGTCAAGTTCCTCCAGACCAAACTCGCTCATGTCTTTATGGACCTTGATTTGTGCACTGTCATTTTGGAACAGGAAGGGGCCATCCCCAAAATTGTCCAAAATGTATTGTATGCTGAAGCGTTAAGAGTTCTTTTCACTGGAACTAAGGAGCCAAGCCCAATCCCTAAAAAACAACCCCACACCATAATCCCCCCTCCACCAAACTTTACACTTAGGCAAGTACCGTTCTCCTGGCAACCACCAAACCCAGACTCGTCCATCAGAATGCCAGACAGAGAAGCGTGATTTGTCACTCCAGAGAACACGTCTTAACCGCTCTAGAGTCCAGTGGTGGCATGCTTTACACAACTGAATCCAACACTTTGTATTGCACTAGGATGCAGCTGTTCGACCATGGAAACCCATTCCATGAAGCTCTCTACGTACTGTTCTTGAGATAATCTGAAGGCAACATGAAGTTTGGAGGTGTGTAGCTATTGACTCTGCAGAAATTTGGCGACTTCTGCGCACTGCGCACCTCAGCATGCGCTGACCCTGCTCTGTGATTTTACGTGGCCTACCACTTTGTGACTGAATTGTTGTTGTTCCCAATTGCTTCAACTTTGTTATAATACCACTAACAGTTGACCATGGAATATTTAGTAGTGAGGAAATTTCACAAATGGACTTATTGCACAGGTGGAAACTTATTACGTTCCACGTTCTACGCTATTACGTTCTACGCTCCTGAGAGTGACCCATTCTTTCACAAATGTTTGTAGAATCAGTCTGCATGCCTAAATGCTTGATTTTATACAACTGCGGCCATGGAAATGATTGGAACACCCAAATTCAATGATTTGGAGGGGTGTCCCAATACTTTTGGCAATATAGTGTGTGTATGTGTGTGTACACACACACACACACACACACACACAAAGTATATCATTTAGCATACGCTTTTATCCCAAATTTTTTTTTAATAAATAAATACAATAGAATAGAATAGTAGTAAGGTTAGTATTAATGGTTAGTCTATGAATCAAAGGGCATCTTTAGCCGTTTCTTGAAACTGGCTAAAAACTCGGCAGCTTGGGTTGAGTTAGGCAGGTCATTCCATCAGCTTGGAACAGTCAAAGGTAAAGGTCCGTGAAAGAGATTTTGTGCCTCTTTGAGATGGCACCACAAGGCGCCGTTCACTTGCAGAACGCACGCTTCTGGAGGGCACATAAGTCAACAACAATCATATATATATATATATTAGGGCTGTCAATATTATCGTGTTAACGCATGATTAATTCATGATTAAAGCGTGATTAATTCAAAATCCTTAACGCGTTCAAATTATTTAAGGCAAATCAATTACTGAAGCAGGCAAATTGTGCAAATAACGTTATTTATGTCACACAGTTAGATTATCTTGGGAGTTGGAAGTTCAAAACATGGAGCATCAATGGCACAAGCACCTGTAACCCTAGTAGGCGGAAAATTTTATTCGAACCCTTTAACCCAATTTGGTTATCTGTTTGCGATCAATCACTGCTAAACGTCCCATCTCTGTATGTCCAGATGATATGCAAACTACGTTTCTCGGCTGAATAAGGCAAAGCAGCGTCTCGCAAGTAAAGTTTTAATGGATGCGAATTATAATGAAGGTATAGATGATTGCACTGACTAGCACACGTGTGCAAGCAAAACCGAGTCTGTTATATTGATGTGCAAACAAACCATATGTGTGCTTTATTTTGTAAAGTTTTTTTTTCTCTGTGTGCTTCGGTGTGCATGAATGTATTAATTATATAGACTCCCTACATAATTTGGCAATTAGGTGTCCTAAAAAGTTTGAGGAAAATTAGGGTGGCACGATATATCGGCATTATCAAAATATTGCAATATCGCATTCGATAACTGAATGATTTTAATACTTACGAAGTGGCTTTTACGAAGTTTCCACAGAGGAAGTTGCCTCTCGGATAGAGCGTAATTTCTGATTTCAGTTCTCTTCTGCAGCTTATATTGCCAAATACACACAAAATTATGTCAAAATGCCCATCTTGTTGAGTGAGTGGAGTAAACAGAAAGCGCGCATGTAACAATATCTTGGATTCATGCAGCGTTTAGTGACAGCAGCCTAATAAACCTGCCTCCGTCTGTGTGCGTAATGTCAAACAACAATAGACGAAAAGAGAAAATTGCTCACTGCTCTTGACGGAATAACTTTTGTAGCTTGAATAAGACTCAGTGTATATTTAATTCATACAGTGAAGACTAAGCAGTGTTTTTTTTTTTTTTTTTACATTTGATTATTCAATTTCTGCTGTTAAATACTTAAAATGTTAAAATGATACTTGTAAAACACTGATGTTCATTTGAAGTGATGCTTTCTTCTCACAAAAAGAATTTGAAACTTTTATTTTGGTTATATCATTTTCACTTTTTAAATATATTTAAATATAATTTAACTTTATTTTACACCAAGCATTGTCGTATTGCATATCGCATTTAACGTGTTAGTGCAAATTGCATTTTTCTTCAATATCATGCAACACTACAGAAACTAAAATTTTGAGAGAATCACCCTTCAATCTGATCTGATCAGTTTACTTTTCTGGATATAGAAAATTATAACAAAAAAAAAACATGTTAAACAAGATATATCATGTATGACTAATTTCACAATAAGTAAGCAATTAATCGCACAAAAAAGGTGTGATTAATCGTGATTAAAGTGTTTTAATCTATTGTATTCTGACTTTGTAAGACCAAATGGTGTTTTCAAAGGTGAAAGAATGGCTCAAGTAACAGGTAGTGTGTTTTATATTGAGAAACTACCTGGTGCCTTCTGGCTCCTGAGTTGGGAAGGAGAGTCATAGATCTCTAGTACCCAGTCTCCAGCAGCTTTCTCGCCCCAGCAGTGAGTTGTCATGAATTCCCAGTTCTTAAAGCCCTCCATTGAGTGATCAAACAGCCTGCAATAACAATAAATAGATGCTACATCACAGCACAAAATGCATTTGCCATGACACTTTAAAGCTTAAAGTGATACTCCCCCTTAGTTTTAACGTTTTTGAATCCATTCAACCGATCTCTGGTTCTGGCGGTACCACTTTTAGCATAGCTTAGCATACATCATTGAAGTGGACAAGACCATTAGCATTCCTCAAAAAAAAAAAAAAAAAAAAAGACCAAAGAGTTTCCATATTTTTCCTATTTAAAACTTGACTCTCCTCTAGTTTTATCGTGCACTAAGACTGACGGAAAATGTAAAATTGCGATTTTCTAGACTCATATGGCTAGGAACTATACTCTCATTCCTGCGTAATAATCAAGAAACTTTACTGCCATACCATGAGTGCAGCAGGCGTAATAATATGGATTCAATAACGATAAAACTCAACAGTTTAACTCTCTTGAAGTGAAGTATCCCTGTAAAGTCGACTATTCGCTGATCATGGTCTGTAGAACTTTTACACTCTGTTTCCAACAGTGAAAATGACACATTAATACATACTCAGAGCGCTTTACAAGATATATTTGATTATACCATCTGAATGCTCAAAATTGATCAGGTAAATGCACATATTAAACAGCTTATTGTACACGCAAGTTAATGGCTGCTTTAAACTAATCCAGTGCTGCATTGTTACGCACACACATACCGATAGTAGCTCGCATGTCAAGTGCAGATTGCGCACACAGAAACATTCAGTAATGCAGAGCTGTATTGTCAAAACTTCTGTGATTTATCAATCAAAAAAGCTTAGAAACTGAAGTTCTATCATATACTTCTTAGTAACTAAAACCCACTGCTTCACTATTAGTAGAGACGTTGCCAGGTAGAACTAATTCATACGCAACCACTCTCTCATATAAATTCATTCAAATGTAATCTTTACTTGGCTACTTTATCTGTATCTGATTCAGAAACAAGCAGAAATCTGAGAGAATTATAATGATATAAGAAAATAAGATAAACGAACTAATATAAATAAGCTGTTATGTAGGACTATATTCCATTACTGCGCACAAGGCAACCCACGTTCAAGTCGCAGCTCGAGGTTCAGGATTATATGTTTATTAATGACATCATCAGCAACTAGTCGACTCTACTTTAATCACATAAATATCGAATCTGAAGCTTGAAACTTGGATCACTTCCACTGAAATTCACAATGTGCAGTCATTCTTGATCAATGTACCCATGTACTCAATATTTGAGCTAGTCTGTTCTGTACCTGTTGGCAAGCAGCTGTGACTTTGTCCCTGATGGTGAGGTTAGGTTGATTGACAGGTCTCCTCGCCGCGGATGAGTAATTGTTATACGTACAACCACATGCTCCAGATAAATAACATGATGGTTTGCATTATCCGTGCAGCCTGTTGCCTTGTACACGGAACGAACGACATGCTCTGGACGGATGGTTCTACAAGAAGGAAATCGTTTTATTTATGTGAGCATTTCTTATTACTTGTATAACATTATCAATGTGGCCTAATGTTAAAAGAGCTGTTGAATATACCTGATTTGTTTGTCAGCATTTTCCACGCAGATGTGCTGTGGGGGAACCTGTTTCCAGCGTTCTGCCTCTTTCACCATGGCCTCCGCATCCATTAGCCCAAAACCATACAGGTGACTGACTGTAAGAATATGTACAACTTAACTGTTCAACAAAAAAATAACAATATGTACACAGATTTAGAGTTGTTATGAAAACCAAAATTACCACCAATCATGATGCAGATTGCTGCTTTAAAGGGGAAAATGCATTGTTCAGCACAGTCTGGAAAACCTACAAGACTGATCATACTCAGAAGTGTCACTACCTATCTAGTGATTTAAACAAGACAGGACCGCTTAAAGAAATGAAAAGCCTGTTACCATTATAACCAGCTGCATTGGTTTTCCAATCAGGAGCGCTGAGATGGCCAGCACGAGACGTCTTCACTACAATGTGTTGCACATCTCGCCACGTAAGGAAAGGACTGCAAAAGAGAGTCAAAAATCAGACATGATGGACAGTTACATCTATGTGATTACAAGCATTACTAAAGAACATCTTAGTAATAGAGACAGTGGTGTGCCAACTGTCATCAAGAGGCCCCAAAGATGTTCGAGAAGCAGTAGCAGCACCACTGCTCTGAATGTAACGGCTGATGGAGGCGTAAAAATGAACCAACGTGAAGATGAAGCAAAAAAAAAAAAATCTGTATTTAATCCAATAGAGTGCATATTTACAGTGGTAATCCCGACAAAACATAAATTGTTCAAAGTTATCTGTTCACAAACTTTCTGCTATGTCTACAAATTGACCCAAAGTAGAGCAATAATTATCTCCCAACTCACTCTACGAGCTCCCTTATGACACTGAGAGGCCCTCTTAAAAAGGATAAGCCCCTCCCACTTGGACTAAACCATTCAGTAATATAAGGAAATAAAGAAATTTAAGAAAGACAAAATATATATATTTATTAATTAATTATTAAGGTCTAACAATGCTTAATGTCCAATCCAACAGAAGACCAATCCCCCCCTCAAAACATGAGAACTATCACTCTGCGTTCTGTTGGCGGGAAACAGACATTTAAATATGGTGGCAGTTACTGTGACCAGGTTTAATCTGTTTCGTATTGTATCCACAAGTTTCCTACGCCCCATGAGGCCTTGCGTCAAAAGTGGGCGCGACTTCCGGTTCGAAGTAAACAAAGCGTGACTTGACATGCTTGACACTCGTACATTCAACAGTTGACAGTCATTCAAGTTATAGCGATCCAAACTAGCTAACGATGTGGGAACACAACCTCAACGAAATTCAAAAGGGTGAAATAACAGTACCTTTACCCTCCGCAGTCGTTGATTGGGAGTATTATAATAACATTATTAATAATCAATACTCATCAAGGCATGGTGACAGACAGTTGTGCGAGCTGACAAACAATTAAAATAAAAAATACACGCTTAGTCATTGTGCTTTGGAGTTTATTCAAAATTATAAATGAATGTGCTACTTGAATACATTAACTGGCACATTTGGTATTCTGTCAACACAGGCTTTGATCCTGAGTTTAGGAGTAACATCAGTAGCGAACAGCCAATCACATGCTGATAGAGTTTATAGAATATTAAGAATTTAAACAAATGTACACAGGAAGATTCGTCGTCTTTTGGGAGGTGATGGAAACTACAGTCGTTGGCAGGATCACTCTTATTTCGTTTTCAGCTTATGTTCAAAACAATCACGTTTAAGCCACTGAATTAGTTTAGTCCGGTTATACATACAACCGCGAACAGCACATGTTGTCCCTGAGCTCCGTAACGACATCTCTCATAAAGATTTGCGTCTTTAAATAGTAAAATAATTCTCCGAAAAACAGCTAGCCTCTTCGCTAACTAACACACAAAATACCATTGGAATGCTACTTCCGCCGCCTTACCGGAAGTTTCACCCACTTTATTTTTTACAGGAGCGCCCCTCGGAAACTTGTGGATAATGTTCCGGTACGGAAGTATGACAATTTATTTCCTCAAGTGGTCAATTGCAAACAATAAGCATTTAACATGGTGACTGGTCTTGCTAGTTTTCTTTATGCAATACATAAATCAATATAGTGAAATTAATGAAAAAATACATGTTACTAAAGAAAAAGGACATGGTGGGGACAGGAACAGCACTTAACCAATAAACAATCATTGACACACACATCACACATACATCTGTGTTAACTTTTGTTAAATTGCGGAAAACAAATAATGTGTTATGGTAGTATAAAAATGTTTGTATGTATGTATAGTGTGTTCTCAAGTCCAATTCACAAAATAAGAGTCTCTATCTCAATCTCCAAACTAGATTTTTTTAAGGTGCTTTCACACTTGGTCTGAACCAACGCCCTTTCGCTCTTTTCCATCAGAGAGAACTGAAGCTGCCTGTGTCTCGATATGACGCTGACATCTTGGAACTTGAGTCTGCGCACTTGCCCTTTTCGGGACCAGTCGTGAGCAGGAAGTAAAACCGCGAAATCAAGGCCGTGGCCTCATTCTCGCTGAATCAAACGCAAGCACACGCCTCGCACTTTCATTAAGTGGCCTCAGTCTGCTTCGTTCTTCTCCAATGATGTCTGCTGATTGCAGAACCTCGTTAAAATAAGTTAAATACAACTACTAACCACATAATCAACATTATTAAAAAAAGTCCGCTGGTGCTTCAGTGACTACCTCGCACAGAGAACTGTTGATTAAAAAAAGTCCGCTGGTGCTTCAGTGACTACCTCGCACAGAGAACCTGTCAATCACAGCTGTCAATCATGATGTCAGAGCACCGTTTTTATCATCACATAACTAACTAAAAACAAACTTATTTTAAAAACCAACACTTGAAATTACATCAACGTGATAGAAACTACAGTAAATGACAGAAACTATCTTTGGAAAAAGGATATGTGAAGTGTAATTTAATTGTTTAGTTGGTCTCGCGTCCCATTGAATAACATGGGGAGGCGGGGGTTATGAGCTATACTAGGACCGGTCACAGGGGGGCGATCGAGACGTTTTGGCTTCACTTTTGAGGGCTTGTGCGGCACGCTTGGTCTGAACCAGAGTTCGATTGCCCTCCCCTCCCCCCGCTGGTCTCCGTTCACATTGTATTATTTGGGTCCGAGCCGCGTGCGCTTGCGTCATCAAGCTGCAGCCTTGTACCAATGTTGCTAGGTAATCTATCTACTTCTGTCTATCTGCAGCAAAACTACTAAAAATGTTCCAAAAAGAAGCCAGTTTCGCAAAGACACACACCCACGCAAACAAGAGAACGTTCATCAATAGTGGTTCACTTCCACTATTTAAGGTGATTGCTTTCATATCAGAAGGAAATTGTACCCAAGAACAGTTAAAAAAGAACACTTTTTTTATAGCAGATTCGGGTACGACTCACCGGTCGGAGTTCATGTCATCCAAAAGAATGTCAAGAGGACAGGGGAGAACACCAAAAGTGATAGCGTGAAAGCACCTTTTAGATTAAAAAAAAAAAAAACTCAAACCATTCTATTATAATGCAAAGAGAATCACACTTGCACTAGCCACAATTTTCAGCTGTAGTTTGAAAGTTCAATGGCTGGCTCTGTCTAGTTGAAGCATTCCCTCCCATAATTCAACATACACAGTGAGATCAAACATCAGACCAAAGAAAGATGAATGCCATGTGTCCCTGAATATCCCCCAAATTATTAAAACATTCGAACTCCATTGTGCTAGGAATATACAGTCACATGGCAGCCATATGTTGAGGTTTTCCCTCAATTTCCTGTGTAAAATTAGACACAGTTGAAACTTACGGAAACTTACGCTTCACGGCATTCAGAATCACACCATTTTAAAGCGGCCAGGATGCTCCTTGCTTTTTTTGAAATTGGGGATTGATGTTCTACAGAAACATACTCTATCATTGGGGGTACAAAGCTCTCTCACCAGTCCACCAGAACCGATGCTGAAATTAAGCAGCAAAAACTGGTGATATAGCCATGTCTCAAAGTACTGACATCACAGCCATGAACACAAACGATTAACCGTAATTAACTTGCAAAATGCCAAAACAATGAAACACCAAAGTTCAAGTTTTCATTTAGCTGAAAACTGAAATAAACCCAAAAATAAAGTTTAAGTAAATAACTTTGAAAACTGGGTAATTTAACTTTTTCTTGTAATGGCTGACGTTTACCTTTTTGTGCACAGAATAGACACTTGTTGCGTTTAAGTCATGTCAGAGTTAAAAGCCACCACAAATCTCATAATTATGAGTGGGAAACTGGATTTCTGAGTTTGGGGCAAAATATCAATCAGAAAACACGGTGGACGCAACGGATGCAGCATCTGTAGTTGATGGTATATTTGTTGAAATGCACGAAATTATTGGATTGAACTTTACTTTAAAAGGGTGATGAACTGAAAAATCAAATTTTCCTTTCGACATCTAAGAGGTCATCATATTAGAAGAATATCCTGTAAGTTTCAGAACTGAAAACGTCCTTGTTAGTCCAATAAAAGCTTTTATTGATACCAGGCTCAGCAAACAACTCGTTTTTCAAAGTGGGGAAATATGACGTCAAAGAGAATAAAACACCACCCCTGCAGAAGATCAACACCTACTTCAACACGGCCGGTTAAGCCCCGCCCACCGATTCGCGCATTAAACGTATAGCTAAATAACATAGATGCCTACCTCGTGATGACAAACCGGATCGAGCTACCGAGCAATACAAAATATTGTGAAATGCCTGGTTGTGGAAGAAGACAGTTGCTGCTTATTTCCTCTGGATTCCAATAGGACTGCATGGATAAACTATTTTTAATGACGTTCCAGCTGATGAGGTAAAACATTGTCTGTCTGTTCTCTTCATTTCACTGAGGATTGTTTTGTGAACAAGACTGGATTTGCAGACGGATTAAGAGTAAAAAACGGTGCTGTGTCGTCTGTATAGCTGGGTTTCAATCACGTGATTATGATGACGCGCCGGATTCAGATGGAGGGCAGGGAGTGAAGAGCGCAATGGACGAGATGGAGGAAAGTCCATACTGTACTACTTTACATGCTATAACAAGAAAAAGAAATAAACAAAAAATCAAACATATGTTGGACGTGATCCTTACGTTATGAAGAGGAGCGATTTTTCAACTGAATTGAAATATTTTCTCGCCATTGAGGCGCTAGATATCAGCAACTACCTCGTCTTACAGACATACTTTGACTTTACATAGTTCAGAAACGTTCCACAAACAGTCACTTAAGTTGTATTAACTCACCTTTGATAAAGTGATCACTAACGTTACACACACACATTTTCCCATTCGGCTCCTCCCGACCGCAGACACAGGTTTGTAAGTAAATTTTTCAGAGTTTTTCGATCAATTTCTTGCATTTTCCCCCCGTATGAACAACAACTTTTGGTACACAATAAAAACTCCATGTGGTTTGATCGATTCAAGTAACTAAATGACT